TCTATTGTTTCTTCCTACCACAGTCTCAGATATCGAAACCGTCGACAAGTGGGGTGGTTTATAACATAAGAATCTATAGTGGTAGTATTTTCTTGACACAACAAAACTACGCAAAAATAAAACAAAAACAAAAAACGAAAGACTTAACATGAGGCCTATTTACTCCATTAATACGACCGATATCCTTGGGAAGTCGCCCGCACGCACACGCCAATACTATTTCATATTTCAACGTGACGTGAAAATCCGAAAATGGCTTGCTTTATTAAAATGTAGGAGGAAATCGATCGGGCAAGGTCACTGGGGGAATTCGCTAAGGTCATTTGGAGTTTTTTTTCTTAATCTTTTATAATGATCGGTGTTTTTCTTTCGTTTACTAGTTCTAGCTTATGACCAAAAAAAATCGTTAACTTTGTTTGTTTTTATTCTTCTCTTCGTATCATTTTTTTTTTTTACTTCGTCCTTATTCCATCTCCCTCCCTTCCCCCTTTCTCCGCCCCACTCCCTCTCTCCCATCACTTCTTTCGTTTACTAGTTCTAGCTTATGACAAAAAAAAAAAAAAAAAAAAAAAAAAAAATCGTTAACTTTGTTTGTTTTTATTTTTCTCTTCGTATCATTTTTTTTTACTTCGTCCTTATTCCATCTCCCTCCCTTCCCCCTTTCTCCGCCCCACTCCCTCTCTCCCATCACTTCTTTCGTTTACTAGTTCTAGCTTATGACAAAAAAAAAAAATCGTTAACTTTGTTTGTTTTTATTCTTCTCTTCGTATCATTCTATTTTTACTTCGTCCTTATTCCATCTCCCTCCCTTCCCCCTTTCTCCGCCCCACTCCCTCTCTCCCATCACTTCATTTCTCTTTTTTTCTTTCCTCCTTCATTGTTCTCCCTCACTCCCTCCTCCTCCTCCGTCTCCTAAGCTATATTTCTCTTCGACATTGTAATAACGTGACAGTCCCACAAAACTTCGAAATGTAAACGTGTCTGCCTCTTCATTACCTGTTCTTTTATGTAGGTGTTTAGCATGATGAAAACATTAATGTCATCTTCATTATATTCGTCATTATCATGGTTATTATCATTATCATCATTATTCTCAATACTGTAATCATCATCGTTATCATTATCAACATCATCATTATTATCATTACCATTATCATTACTGTTATTATGGTTATTGTCACTATTGTTATTGTCATAGCAATCATTATCATCATCATTACCATTACCATTATCGTCTCACTATCACCACCATCATTACCATCATCAATGTTATAATCAGTATCATCACTGTCATTTCCATCACCATTATCAACACCATTGTCACTATCATCCTCTATCTCTCCTTCTGTTTTCTCCTTCTTATAAATAACATCATAATTACGAAGGAAAAGAAAATCAATGTTTTATTTCTCTCTTAGGCTTAACAAACAAAGGTAACAGTTCTAAAAAAAAGTAAAAAAGATCTTACATTTGAGATTAACATTGTGTAAGCCTATCACGCACCTGTGCCTCTCTCTCTCTCTCTCTCTCTCTCTCTCTCTCTCTCTCTCTCTCTCTCTCTCTCTCTCTCTCTCTCTCTCTCTCTCTCTCTCTCCCTCCCTCTCCCTCCCTCTCCCTCCCTCTCCCTCCCTAGTCCCCCCCCCCCCCTCTCTCTCTCTCTCTCTCTCTCTCTCTCTCTCTCTCTCTCTCTCTCCCTCCCTCTCCCTCCCTCTCCCTCCCTCGTTCCCTCTCTCTCTCTCTCCCTCCATCTCCCTCCCTCGTTCCCTCTCTCTCTCTCTCTCTCTCTCTCTCTCTCTCTCTCTCTCTCTCTCTCTCTCTCTCTCTCTCTCTCTCTCTCTCTCTCTCTCTCTCTCTTTCTCTCTCCCTCCCTCTCCCTCCCTCGTTCCCTCTCTCTCTCTCTCCCTCCCTCTCCCTCCCTCGTTCCCTCTCTCTCTCTCTCTCTCTCTCTCTCTCTCTCTCTCTCTCTCTCTCTCTCTCTCTCTCTCTCTCTCTCTCTCTCTCTCTCTCTTCCTCCCTCGTTCTCTCTCTTGCCTACATTATTCAGGAGAGCTTTGTCTCTATAGGCCGCCTTCATATATCTTACGAATCCTTTTTATTTACAAAAGTAGACTTGTCATTTCAACATTACTACTGTTGTTGCAGGGTTAAGAATCATAATAATTATTTATCATCATCATTATCTTCATCATCATAATCATTATCTTTATCAACATTATCATCGTCATTATCATCATTACCATCACCATAATAATAATTATCATCATCATCATTATCATTATCACTATTGCTATCGTTTTTGTTATTATTATCATTATTATCATCATCGTTATTATTATCATTATTATCATCATCGTTATTATTATCATAATCATTATTATTACTATTATTATTATCATTATTGTTATCATTATTATTGTTATCATTATTATTATTATCATCATCATCATCAACATCAATTATTATTATTATCATTATTATCACTGCTTTTACTAGTACTATC